AAAACAAAACCTCGAATTAAAGCCTAATCCCCTTATACGGCGGGTAACTACTCTCCGGCTCGATCTAGTTTCCGAAAAGAAAAAAGGTCTGGTTTATTGGAACGAATCAAACCTACCGCATATTGGAATGTGAGTGATGGCCCAATTCCCCTCACATTCCAGGCGAGAAGCCTCATTTATCTTCTGGGGGGCACTTTTGGCTGGCTACCTCCACCTTTTCATCACTTGGAACTTCCTCCACAAATTGCTTCTTGGGGTTAGGAGGTGCTTCAATCACCCCCCTCCACCTCGATCAGATCTCTCTTGCGACCACAATTACCAGGATCCAGGATATTGGTCCCATATTCATTCAATTTCCAAATCATCTCCTTCTCTGAGGCTAGAGGTGATTCGCTATTCTTAATCACTCCAGGACCCATAGTCCCAACATTCTCCTTCCCATCAACAGCCGGATTAAGAGTCATGACTGCTTCAAATGCCGCCACCACCTGCCCAACACGGTTCTGGGTGGTGCAGGGCACCACAACAGTCGCTTTCCCTTTGGCACGACTTCTAATCTTGAAGCACTGCTCCTCCTCCTCTTCAGAAGATGCCGCAAATGGATCCATTTCAGCCCCGCAAGCATCCTCCTCTGGAGACAGGGATGGGGAAAGCGGATGGTAGCTAGGAAGAATGCCAACACGCATCGGAACTTCAATCAAGTTCTCCTCCTCGACTAGCGGCACCAGTTTCTTCCCCCGACGAGAATAGACCACTCTTGCTGTGAGGTTGCGTGCACAGCGGCTGCTACCTGCTGGAACAGTCTTCGCCATCTGCTTAGTAGATTTCCGAAGTCGGCGTAACCCACCTTGAGGAGAGGGCACAATTGGTTCTGCACATTTCATCTTGAACACAGCCCGTCCTTTTGACTTCGGAGTAGAGCAATCTATGCCCAACTCATGGCCGCCTTTATGCTTGGCAAGCCTGGATTGATTAAGAAGAGGATCATCCTCTTCCGATTCCTCCTGTAGGAGCAGCCGCCTTCGGTGGGTCATCCGCTGGGTGGGCTCGGAATTCCCAGACCCAGTATCTTCACCATCCAGGTGGGCTGACAAGGCCGTCCCAGATTCCTGGGCCTGTTGCCTCGGAGCATGGGCCTCTGCATGTCTCTTCCCCATCGGGCCAGCACCATGAGACCGAACTTTGATGGGCCCGTGGTCATGGGCCCGACATGACTGTCCAGCCTTTTGTCCTTCACCTCGCCCCACTACCGAATCCCCACGCCGATTAGCTCGAGCTCTACCCTCCATCGCCTGCTCCACCATCATCGTGCTGGGTGAGGGCTTACGAGTAGCGCGACCCAAGTGCAGCCGTGGCGATTTCTTCAAATTGAAGCCACGCAGGCTCCTAGCCCTGTTCATCCTCACAGCTTCATCTTGATCAGCCGCCAGTATTCCTTGAGACTGCCGCCCCTCCGAGAAACCCACACGGTTTCCCTGCCTCCCTTCTTCTCGCCGAGTACCAGGTTGGGTACGAACCTCACGCCCTTCCCGTTTCTCCCGAATTTCCTTGTTTACCCAAACTAACTTGGACCTGCCATGATTAGGGGTGAACAAACACACCCGCAAACCGACCCACCCGTCCAACCCGACCAAACCCACCCGTATTTATCGCTAAAATGAAAGTTTTGGGTTGGGTGAGGGTTTTCTTTTGTGCAACCCGCCTCTTTTAGGTTGGGTTTGGATTTTGGATTACCCAACCCGTGTTCCAACCATTAGTATGAGTTCGTATCTAAAAATGTTTATGTCGTATATAGCCATACGTATGAGAAAATTAAGATTTTTCGCCATGTTTTCCTATCATTGTCTCCCTAATCTAATGCATTCTTCGACTTAAAGTTTAGACATAAATTGAATATAGTTATGATTCACATAATCTTTTTTCTTTTGTACAATTTTAATAGAATAATATATTATGGATGCATTTGTTTATAACCTTTTTAGCCTATTCAAATATCGTGAAAAAAACTAGACATACGTTGTAGTAAATCACATTTTATTAAAATTCAAATAACATTTGTGAATTTTGATACCTTTTACCTCGATTTATTCGTTTGAAATTTTAATTAGTTATAAAATATTTTTATGATGTATAATAATTATATATTTTATGTTGGGTTGGGTTGGGTTTTTACTTAAAAATATCGCCAATCCGACCCAACCCAATTAGAAACAAACCGTAGGGTTTAAATATTTTTGGGTGGGTTTGGGTTTGATAATTCCCAAACCGCAGTGCATGGGTCGGGTGATTAAAATGGTTAAATCCGAACCAGCCGACCCATGTACACCCCTAGCCATGATACGCAGGCATCTCGTCATCATCATCATAAATCCTAGTCCCGGATTTCTTGGTTGACATGTGAGGCCCGAATCGTTCTTTGCGGGTGGGAGGATCAAAAGAGCAATCGCTTATCATGTGGCCCACACGACCAAAGTGGAAGCAAAATGAAGGCAGATGATCGTACTTAACATTGATCCAAAAGCACCCAGTTTCCTCGCTAGACGCCATGATTTGCGGACGCAGAGGTTGAGAGAAATCAATCAGAACACGAACTTTGACTAACCATTGATCCGTATCTGTACAGGCAAACACACCTGATTCAAGGACATGGCCAATGGCATCATTTGCCATCTTCCTTCCTAACTGTTTTGTACAACAGTCTTCCTTTACCCCCCATAATTGAACACGAAATGGCACAATCGCAAGCTCATCAAAGATTTTCTTCGAAAGGTTTGGCAGCCAGGCCAGGACATGAAGAATTTTGTCTGCGATCACCCATGGCGATCTTTTCAGCACCCAGTTCCTCGATCCTTCACTGGGCAAAACAAATTCAAACAGCCCAAGTTTTGCCACCATAACCCGAATCTTCCCCTTCCCCTGCCATGGGACGTTGAGAGATTCCTTAAGCTCGGTTACCGTCACATTGTTGGTTGTGAACAGCCTCCCCACCAAAGCGCAAGAGCTGCGGAAGCGCGCCGGCTTCACCTCTGCCATGGAAAATTGAATAACCTGATCCTGTTGGATGCGAGCCATCGTAGAACCTTGCGATGAACAAGGAGTGGACAAAAATGTGAGGGGCAAATTCAAAGAAGTGACCACACTCTACAGGCCACCAGCAGAAATATACGAAGGGTCTTGGGGGGGGGGGGGGGGGGGGGGGGGGGAGAATTTTCACGAATCCTGGCGAAAATCACCAAAGAATCCGCGAGCAGGGAATTGGAGAATATGGAGGAGTGGAGTTGCGTGAACCTGAGCTGGACAGTTGAGTCGGGTGGTCACGTTGCTTCCCTGCCGTCAAAGGAGCTTTTCTATTTGAATCGCTTGTGCGATTAAACATAACTATGGACGGGTTTAAATAAGAGGGAGATTGCAAAAGCCACCCTCTCCCAGTTACCGCCGCTAGGTCACGGGTACAGGAGAGACGTCCACCACTAGGACGTCGGTTGTTAATGGGATTCTTTTTCAAACTAAACTGCAGATGGGATAGAATCCCACCAAATCCGGGCCAGCGGTTAAAGGCCTGGGATTTCGTTTTAGGTCGATCCCCCGTAAACCTCGCCGACTGATCGTTATCGTCACCGCGACAAGAATGTCGGCAAGCTAACACCGGAAAACATCGTAGCATTGCAGATTTCTGGACAAGACACCCTTTCTCGGGAACCATCGGGGGTTGCTGCCGAGCAGGGTCCATCCATTGGTGGATCGAATAAGAGTTGTTCCGATCATCCATCATTACGGGGCAGCTCTGCGATTTAGCCTCCGTTTCCATGTCAAGGATGAGCGAGGAGGGTAGCGAAAACCGCCACACGTCCACTTTGGATAGTTTTTGTCGTTTGATTGCAGCCGCCTCAAACCTATTTCTTTCCAAAAAGCCAACTAGCTTCCTTTTTTCCGATCCAAATCATGGATCTTCTTATAGAGAAACTCACTCCGGGCGCACTGGCACCATGCTGTGTTCCGGTGAGTCTCCGTCCTGGGTCAAAAACCGACCCTTCTGAATGCAAAGCGGCATTCTTTTCTTGGCTTTCGCCATAGCCTTGATTAAGCAGGCTTACATTGAACATTATCAGTAGCGTTGAAACCAACATCCGGCCAACTCTCCTACAATGCTCGATGATCGAGCGGACAGCAATCCGGAGCATTTTTGCTCTCTTTTTTCAGAGTCAGAGCTTTCTCTACTATGATGATGTATGGCATTAGGTTTGATTCTATGGCATTAGGTTTGATTCATATGTATTTGTAACTTCTCAAATACAATTTACTAGAATGTAACTAATAAATATTTACTTTTCATACCCAATTTGTCCATGTCACGGTGACCACTACTATAAGGTGTACACGATAACTTGTCTCGTCTAGAATCTAGGATTCCCATGCCCCCCCCCCCCCCCCCCCCCCCCCCCCCCCCCCCCCCCCCCCCCCCCCCCTAGTTCATTCCTTTTTAGAGTGATGTCTATTTATTAACCAAACTTTTTTCAAATTTTTTTTTATCCAAACGCATTGAAGTACTATTTATTAACCAAACGTTAAATCTCTGTCAACTTTTCTGTATGATGATGGTGAGCTGTTAGATGTGGAGTTGAGTTGGAAGGAATATTCTGACGTGGCAATCAAAAAACGCCACATCAGCCAGTCAACCATTGATCATTTTTTCCACCTTTATTTTATTAGCCAAACCTATTAAACTACTAATAATTAGTCAAATCTTAACTTCCAATTAGCAATTTTGTTAGTAATATTGACTTGGCAACATGATACTAACTTAGAAGAGACACATGGAGGTCAACATTCCAAAATTTTAGTATTTTAACTAAGAAAAGAGTTACAAAATTATTAATGATATGTATAAATGGCTAATATTTTGATGCATCACAAAAGATTTGGTCAATTATTAGTAATTCAATAGGTTTGGATTATAAAAAAAGAATGCAAGAAAGGTTTTGCTAATAATTAGTGTTTACCCAATTTTATTTTATTCATTGATAAGGTGACAGCTGAGTTCGACACTGAGGTGGAGCACCGTTAAAAATAGTTAACGGTAACGAATTAATAGCTACTACTTGAACGTGTTACAAAATGTTTGGCTAGTTCTTAATATTTCGATAAGTTTGCCAATAAAAAAAATCTAAAAAAGGTTTGATTAATAAATAATCATTACCTTTTTTACAAAGAAACTGCTTGCACTTCAGTAGTGAAGCAAAGTTGGATAAAAAACACCCAAGAAAGGCAACAAAAGATAAATAAGAAATATTAAGGTCCAAACAATGGGTTCAATCCATCAACAAAAGAAAAAGATCATGCAGCCAGCAAATAAGAAGCCCAACATAAGGGAAGCTCACATAAACCATATGTACTTCAAACTTCAAAGTGAACATTAACAACCCATCTGCAAAAGAAAAAGATCAAATAACTAGCAAATAAGTTGTCCAACATGAGAGAAGGCCACATAAACCCTATGTACTTTAAAGTGAACATTAGCAACCCTTTGCCTACTGATAAAAAATACACTAGTTTCTAAATCTGAAGAATAGAAAAGAAACTAGAGCTAGAACCATCCATCTCACAAATAGAGGAAGAATAGAAGACACAAATGGGAATGGAGACGAGTGGAAAGCAAAGCAAAAAAGGGCAAACATAAATGGAAAAGGCTGGAAAAGAAACGAGGAATAAAGCAAATATTAGAAAGCAACAAGTTGTTTTGTGGAATTTTGGTGGATTTAAATTTTTCATCAAATCTTTTGCTTAACCCTTTATTTTATATAAAGGAGTTTGGTCCAATAACATGTTCGTTTACATATTAGGTATTTTAGTTGGGAAACGTGTGCATATAGGTTTAGACTGAGGGGCAGGAACACATATGTAGTAATTCATAAACTGTGTTTAAAACATAAACTGTGTTTTTACAGGCCATATACCATATGTAGTAAGTGCATAGAAGACGTTTGCTAATGCAGTAAGAGAAAAACAATCCACTCATAGGTTACACATTTATCAGGTGATATATATTGCTTTGGCAAGTCCTCTAGTGGAGCTTCCCCGGTCCAGAATGCAGCTGGACAGTCCTGCTCGGGACAACCTGAAGTACACCGGGTTGTCCTGCGAACGAAACAAAATCACAAAAAGAAGTAAAAGGGACTTGTCATTCCATCTGAGATCATGAAACCAGCGATGGCTTGGATGCAAAATGTTGAGCAACAGAGCAAAGAGGCTTCAGCACTGTAACAAATGACAGGTCTGTATCACATTTGCTTGTGTGACTCTACTATCTATATATAAAAGCAGAGCACAACATCTGGGAATTAACTCGTCATCAGCATATTCAAGCCTATTTTCTGGAAAACATAATCCGGGCAAAGAAGTCATCAGAAGAACTCATTCAAGCGAATCAGAAATACGTGACTAACATAAGGAAGATACATTAACCGACATCGTGAGCCAAGCAAAGGGATCTCTCAGACGATTCAACATCTCCTGAAGATGCAATCGAAACAAACTTCACAGAAGTATGGCAACAGAAGTAATGTAGCTGAGAAAAGGTTATCAAAAGGACTCCCAAAGGGTGACAATCGGCAACAAACAGGTGCCATTACCAAAGGTACGACAACCATCAAACCCTAATTCAACTCAACCTTCCACCAATTGAGCAACAAAGTAAGTTTCTTTCGAAATCAATCAGCCAAACCATACAGCCCATCAACGAATCCTCAATTCAAAGCCACATGAGACAATAATAACCAACTTTGGAACTCCAATTGTACGCTTCTAGATCATCGAATTCTAGACAAGGAAAAAGCAAAATGGAACTGAAGACTTACTTGAGATCTGCTCGACCTGCTCTGGAGTAAGCTTAGCTGAGAAGCCAGACGCAGCCGTCTTGTAACTGTACAGCATAGCATCCTTCGCAGCCTGCTCGCTGTGATTCCAATCAAACAAACAAACAAACAAAAAAAACTCTCAATTAACAAGCACTAAAGACGAGCAAGAGCAGATGATTTATCGGCGGCTTAATCGAAGAGAGACGGACCTGCCGAGGACGGAGGCGAGGGTTCGGATGTGATAGGCCTCCGGCTCTTCATTCCCCTCCGGCCTCTCGGTGTAGACGATGTGAACAGCGGCGGAAGCCGGCTGGGCGGCGGCGGAAGGAACGGAGTCGGTCATGGTGGCGATCGCAGCGGAGACGACAAAGAAGAGGAGCAGCGGAGGAAGAATAGGAGAGGAATTTGGTGGGAAGGAGCGCATTCTGATCACTCTGCCGCGTCGATGAAATTTATAAAGGTAATCCGAATTTCTCTCTCTCTGTGTCTCTCGATTTTCTTTTTCTCGATTGAAATTCTTAATGAAGAAGCGAAGTGGAGTCCATTCCAATGGAAGGCATTTTCCCACATCGATTCCTCCGCGTCTCACACAGTCCTTTGATGCCCGAGGATGGATGGCTGGGCCTGTTTGGAGGCCCATTTCTTGTCATTTCTTTTCGCGACAACTTGTATACTTTAGGCTCCCTTTAGTATGATTGCTTGTGCTTTACTTTTTGTTGTGTTATTACAAATTCTAAAAGGGTTTATATTATGTTGTTTTATTAAACATGTCCTTTACTATTTTTTATATATTACTACATGTATTTATGTGCTTTATTATTACTTTTGACTACGGATGTCAATTAAAACCCGAATCAACAGGTAGCCAACTTAATCCGGCCAAAACAAGTAAAAATCAATATTGATGAGTTTTGATCTGGCGTGGGTTTTATCCAATTTTGAAATTGGTAGGTTAGGTTGAGTTTGGGGTTTCCCAAAACTCAACCCACTTTTTCACTCGACTTACACCCAAAAAGCAAAACGATGTTAGCATCATATGAGTTTTTGGATTCTTGCAAGTTTTATTCATATATTGTGTCATGGTGTTTACCAGATCTAATAAGCTACAAGGAGCCTACTGATTAGGGGCTAATTACACATATTTTACCCCTCATTTCTTGATAGTTTGACATTGTGAATCATCGTCTCTCGACCTACTTTACGCTAGAGTATGCTATTTTTGTTACACTTCAGGTCCTAGCACGCGTGGAAGGGTCGAGGACAAGTTTCGGGACGATTGGGGGTCGAAAAGCGCCAAAAAGTGAAGAACATTCGCATATCACGGTTGTGACGTGATTTTCACGGACGGGCGTGAAGATTGCTAGAAACATAAGATTTTTACGTCTCGCAGGCCTAAAGGTTGTCACGATCACCAGACCATGATAATTTCCCAGAGACCGTGATGTCAGATGACAATTTCCCAGAGACCGTGATGTCAGACAGAAACGGCAGCAGTCTCCCGCATTTTTGTCTACTGTCACGGTTGAACCTCCAATGTCAAGGCCGTGATATTCTTACCGTGAAAGTGACTGTCATGCTGTATAAATATAAGGCAGCTGGGAGAGAGAGAAGGGAGTTGGAACTTGGTTGAATTTTAGATTTTCTGGGTTCCCTTCTAGGGTTCCACCTAAGAACCCCTAAAAAGGAGGAAAAATCCAAGTGTGAGAGAGAGAGAGATATTTTTCTTCTTAAGAGTGAGAAAGTGAAGAATAAAAGGAAGAAGAAAGAGATTTGGGTTTGCCCTAACCTAGAGGATTAAAGGCGTTCTTCTCTCAAGTGTGATTCAAGCATCAAGAAAAGAGGATAGTCACCACACCATGGTTCTTTCTCTCTTCTTTGTAGTATTTATTTGCCTAGCTAAGGAGTAGTGTTCTCTTTCATTTGGGTATTGTGAACCCTAGCTTTATATATGTGATAGATTGTAAAGACTTAATGCTATGTGTGTGGGTTTGTGTTTTAATGCAAAGTTTGAGATACTTTCGGAATTCATGAGTTGTGTTCTTCATTTCTCATAACCATGTCAAATTGACCTAGGTGGAGAGAACCCCTCTTTTGTAAGAGGCTTTGAGAAGCTGGATTTCTTGGCCATTTGAGTCACCCACCTAGGGTAATTTAGGGCAAGCCTCAAACTTAAATTTAGCACCTTGAGTTGGTTGTTAATTTGCTGTCCGCATTAAGTTTTGAGGGAGTAACCTCTGCAACCCTTAGGTGATGGGCCAAAAGAGCTAGTGCATAGCTTATGTATCATTCCTTGGCCTATTATCCGAGAGAGTGAAGTCTCTTCACTAGTTGCACCCTCCTAACGGTGTATGAACACAACTTTATACATATGTATTCAATTCAGTCAATCTTGATATATAGCTAGGGGGAAATATGCCCGGTGAATTCTTCTCTTATTGGGACAACCTCGATTTATTTTACTTTCGTGTTTACTTTGTACTTTTCTTAGTTTATAAACCCCAAACCGTTTGCTAGATAACAAATTAAGCGATTGAAGTAGGGTGCATGAACCAGCCCGGGTTGACAATTAAAACGCTTTCTCTATATTACACCGGGCTATAGTTTATACTTAGGCTCTAGTTGGGAATTTATTGTGGTAGTTGGAATGAGTCAAGTTTTTGGCGCCGTTGCTGGGGAGAGTTTACGGTCCATAATCTAGAAAAAGTTGTTTATTGTTACTCTAGCATTTTCTATCTCGTCTTTTGTTTTGTTTTGTGTTTTCATCTTTTGTGATGCAGAGTTGAGCCATGGATCCCGATAGCTTCTCCTACATGTGGGGGTATCAACCAACAGGTCCAACACCCGAACGGTACGCCAAGCCAACATGGAGCAATCAAGAAGGAGAAGGCTACGGATCCCGGGTCGACTACCAACTACCATCCTATGATGAACAACCGTATCCCTCGGATGTTCAAGATTTCTATGAAGACTACCCTCCATAACATGAAGTGCATAGCCAATTGGAGATATTGGTGCATCGGATAATGGGAGATCATATTATGAACCGGCCTTTCGAACCATGGACCCACCTCACTCGGATTTCCTCTATGAAGCGGAGAAAATACACAAGAGCACGGAGAGGCTAAACTCGATGGTCGAGAAAGCTTGTGCACGTTTCACTCAAGACTGATTCATAGCGGTTTGTGAAGAAAAGGAAGATGAAGAGGCAAGCATCGAGGACTGATTCAGGCCGAATTGTATATATTTTACCCCGTTTTCCTTAGACGTTTGAGGCAATTGTGCTCCTAAAAGGGTGGTTTTACGCGAGGTTTCTTGTGTTTTACCATGTTTAAGGATTTAACAAGTGAAACTAGCCCCAGAGTCGAAAGTTGGACGAAAAGGAGCGAAAACCGGGAGAAGAGGTGAAAACCGGCAGTTCACGGTTTCTCTTGGACTTTCACGGTCTGCTTAGACTATGAAGAAGAGTTATTGCCCGTAAACATCAAGGCATCAAGGGCCAAATCCTAAGTTACTGACGCCAGGTGAGTTCACGGTCACTAAGACCGTGAACTAGAGCTGTTGCCCGTGAACCTGAGCAAGCGAAGCGGGGCGTTTCGATGCCAGCCTTGAGTTCACGGACTCTTTCAAGAGTTCACGGCCTTGAACTGAGGCCATGAACTGAGCCCGATCCCTGTTTAAAAGGAGAGATGAAAGGAAGAGAAGGGAGAGCCCAAGAGTGAGAAAGTGTCTTCTTCAACTTTTAGAGAGAGAAAGAACAAACCAAAGGAGAAGGAATGCTAGGGTTTGCTCCAAGTGGTGAATTGGGAGGATTCTCCTCAAGAGAAGATCAGCACAAGTGCAAATAAGATTGGAAGCATCTCCATGATGGTTTCTACCTCTTCCCCTTGTGTTTCTCCCCTTTCTAGTATGGAGAGTTTTCTCTTTTCACTTGGGTGTTGTGAAACCCTAACTGTTTACCAATCTCAGTTTTTGTTATGTGAGTTGAATGATTGTTCATAGGTGTTGTCATAACTAGGGTGTTCAATTAGTACGATATTGTTCGCTTTGGGCCAAGCCCGCACGGATTTAATCTTGGGTGTCCTCCCCAAAAGGCCTCGTACTAATGAGCTTGGTGGACACTTATATACAAGGGTTCATTCCCTTGTATTTCCGATGTGGTACTTGGATTGTGCCATAACAATCATCCCCTCAAGACAAGGACCAAGAACTTCGTGTCCTCACCTCAGCGATTATATCGATGGGATTCTCGGTACAAGGAATTGATCCGCCAAATGCCTTGTATCGATGGGATTCTCGGTACTAGGAATTTTCCAGACCCAGAACTCTCATTGATCTGCCAAATCAAACACGAATATCTCTTGATCAGCCAAGCCCAAACGTGGGTCTCTCCTGCATCAACCAAACAGACGCGAATCACAAATCCCGAAGCCACCGAATGAGGGTCCCACCAAACTGACATCCACCGCCCCTAGATCTGCCGAACCAGGCTCTGATACCACTTGTTATAACTGGGCAGCTCAATTAGTAGAATATTGTCTGCTTTGAGCCAAACCCGCACGGATTTACTCTTGGGTGTCCTCCCCAAAGGGCCTCGTACATTTATATACAAGGGTTCCTTCCCTAGTATTTCCGATGTAGTACTTGGATTGTCCCATAACATGTGTTGTTTAATTCCATGATTGAGGTATTTTCCATGTTGATTGTGCATGTTTGTGCTTAGCAATCTAATTGGCCAATTTAACCTAGATTAGAGAGGGAAAACCCCCTTTCAAGGGAGGCTCAATTGAGTTGGGATTCCTAGGGATTTTTAAGTCACTTGTCTAGGTTAATTTAGGGCAAACCTTGATATTGGATTAAAAAATTTGGTTAAGCGCGATTAAGCTGACCAATCCTTGGGTTGAGAGAGGGAGTAAGTCAACCATCGATTTCCTTAATCGAGAGGGCCACTTGAAGAGCTATAATGCATGGATTACAAAACCGTACCGGACATCAAACCGGAATCGTCTTTGGCATGGTAAATCGTGGTACAACCAAGGTTCAACCGTTTCCTACCGGTAAAAACCGTTTTTGGAATAAAAAAATTATTTTTTTGTTAAAAAACCGTACCGGCAAAATTAGGGTACCATACCGGAATAAAACTGGATTATACCGCCTAAGAAACCGTAAAAGAGTAAATATACCGGAATAAAAGCTAAAAAAATAAAAAGAATAAGGACTTGTGTCATGTCCCCCACGCCTCCCAACTTAGGTAACCAGTTCGTGGAGCGGGAGCGAAAGCGAAAGCGTGAGAGCGTCCATATTATAAATTTTCAATAATGAGAGTGTGATGAGAGCTCTATTATAATATTATCATAATTATTTTTTATATTTACAATGTAATTAGTATCAAAATAGTACATACCATAATAATAAATAAAATTAATATTGAAAATTCGAATGATGAAAAATGGTTGAATTCGTTAAAATATAACTCTATTATAAATATTTAAAATTCATTTCTCTACTCTCTATTTTTCGATTGTGTCAATGTGATTACAAATAATTAAAAAATTAATCATTTAATTTCCCACGTATTTATTCTTTCTTTTTGAATTACTTTTTTCCATTATCTGTACACGACTACACCTCCCACATATCCTTCACTTTCTCTCTTCCCTATCTGACTCTCTCTCTCCTCCCCAACCCAGAGCACGATGAAGCTCTATTTTTTCT